AGGTGTTTATACGCGATGAAAGAATCAAAGTAGGGTTTGTTTATCTTACATCAGACACAGATTATTTCCTCATAAGGCAGAACTAGATCACTTATACAGGATTCCAGTGGATATTCGATTATGCGCCGTCCAACTAAACGGGACAGTAAGGACTCAGAAATAAAAGGACACTCGCCGTTGACTCTTCATGGTCTCTGCCTACGGTCCCACTGATTACAGCTCAGATGAGGTAGAATATGAGTTTTACAGAAACATCTCTAACCTCCTTCAAAAACCTACGAGCACTGATATAGTAATAGTGGCTGGTGACTTCAATACTCAAGTAAGTAGACAAAGCGAAAAGGAAAGACACCAGGTGGGCCTTTTCGTGTTGCGACTAACATAACAGAGCAGCAGTTCGCTCTGTCCAATTTTATGGCTGCGAAACATGGCCGGCATGAGTAGAAGATATTCGTAGGTTACTGGTTTTCAAACATAGATGTCTCCAAAGCATTGCTCGTGTATCCTGGGATAACAGAGTAAGCAATGTTGTCGTCAGGATACGGGTCCTAGGTAAGGATGGCAGACCGATTGAAACTTCATCAGTTGACGTGGCTGGGACATGTGTTACTTTTGCCTAACTAACTTGTGTGTCTGAACAAATAAATTTTTAGGGTGTTGTATTCTCAAATGTCCTAATCGTAAGATCTCCATGAAATAATTTAATAAAAAGAGGTTATATTATTTTTTTCAACAATCGTCTAGCAAATCTTTATGTTGAGCTAAAATTCGACTGGTTGTTATTCACAACTGTGTATTCTCTTCTTCGTCAGCTTGTTCGCTTTTGATTTTTTTTTTTAATATCTGACTATGGTGCTGTTTTTATCTTATTGGTTGACAAGATTATGTCGACATTTAATGAGCTGTTGATTGTTACTGGGGCTGGTGTTATTTGTAGATCAAAGAGTAACAATTTTGAATGTTCATGTTGTATCATCTGGACTGTCGCCATAATGGTATGTAACTAGAATAAAGTTTGTAGTGTGCAGTAAATTGTCGAGCCCACAGGGCTTGTCCCAATCTCTTCGGCCAAACTAACTAACCCATTCTTCTCCAGTTATTCTTCTTGACATGTCTTTCGACCTTGTCAATTATCCGCTTAGGATGTTTGGTATATTTATTCGAGTGTGTGTGTGTGTGTGCGTATGCTTACTTCGCCTATCGCATGTCTAGCTTATTTTGTCTGACCATATATAATCAGACATGCCTCATTAGATTGAGTTGGCCCATTGGCCATCTCGGTCTCACTCCACTTCACTTCGCTTTCCCAGCTTTTTATCTTCATGTCTATGTGCATGGACGATTATTGCTTGAAATAAACTCCTCCAACTGAATCCATATATTTGGCTTCTTTTATTACCACTATCGTACACAGGGAGTTCACCTGAGAATAATATACGAAAAATAAATTAGTGCCAGAATCCAGGTCACAAACAATTGCAACTATACGTAAATATAGTCAGTTTGTCAATCATTTGCAACGTAGAACTACGTACGTATGTACATAAGTTCATGTTGCAATACTACATTAGCAGAGAGACGCAGATGTCAAATCAAATCTCAAGTGATAAAGATAGTAGAGGTACTTATGGTAATGAAGAAAACTAGGGATCGAAGATATTATTCAAGAAGTATAGTTCAGTGATATAAGACTAGAAGGACAAAGGTAGAGGTACTGACGAATCCAGAAGATTAGGATTTGAGAGAGCTCAACGAATGGATGCACTTGCGCGATCGCAAACGATTTTGAGCCATGTCATTCAAGGTCTCTAACCATGAGTTACTATCGTCTCGCGGACCCCAACTAGGTAGCCTACATCTACCAACATAACTCAGTTCACTTGTCAGTGACTTCATAGATTTCTGCCATGTTTTGGTTTGGCCAGCCCTAACTTTCTTCCAACCTACTCCTACACCACAAAACATAGCTCGTCGAGGCAATCGGTGGTTAGCCATACGTAACACATGTCCCAACCACCTCAACTGATGAAGTTTCACCACTTCATCAATTGATCTGCCATCCTTACCTAGCACCCGTTTCCTAACGACAGTATTGCTTACTCGGTTGTCCCACGGTATACGAGCAATGCTTCTTAAACATCTATGATCGAAAACCAGTAACCTACGAACATCTTCTACTCTTAACGGCTGCGCAGTACACCCGTCCTTTGGTTAGCGAACGGATATCACGCCTACTCCATAAATGACGCAGGTTGGCAAAAGCCAATCGAGCCTTCTGTATCCGCGCTGAGATTTCGTCAGTCATCAGGCTATCAGCACTGATGAGACTCCGAAAAACGTAAATATATCTATAAATTCTCAACAACAAAGAACCATTGACTAAACACCAATAAGCGAAAAAAAAACACTTCATTCACAAACTTGACATTTTCTGATGATAACGACGATTGTGTTGTTGGTGGTGTTGGTGTTGTTGGTGTTATTCGTTGTACAAACTCCGGTGATAGATTGATACAAGCAAGTGTAATTCTAATTAAATTTGGTTGATGTTCAATAAGTAGACGTTGATTTTCTGCACAATTTATAGTGGCATAATCTGCTAGATGAAGTAAAGCAAGCAACCGTTCAGATTCATCAAGCAATGAATAATAATAAGAATTGGATTGTTTGACAACATCATTATTATTATCACCTGATTCAATTGTTCCATTTTCAATTTTATTATGATGTTGTGTTGATGTATGGATAACAACATTTGGTTGTTTTATTATTGTCTTTTTATGAGAAGAATTATTATTATTATCCGGATTGAAAATTTCATAGACTATCTGAAAGATTCAACAAACAAGTTTAAACACATTCAATTAATTTATTTTTTTTTGGAAAATTGTAACTCGTCTGGTCTGATCTGATAAATAAATATTTATAACGAATATATAGAATATGCTAAGCACGTGCATCAACGCCAGTTATCACATCATACCAACCAACACACAGAGCGATAAAATTATCAAGAAGAAATCGAGAGTCGTAGAATTGGTAACAGTATCTATCAGTGATAGTAGAAAGAGTTGAGCAAGCATAGAAAATGATTCAGGGAAAAAAAACAAGGATTAAACGGTATTAAAGAAGAGTAACTCTATAGGGATTGTTTAGAGATTTAGGATATAAGTGATGAAAAAGACGTGTTACTCAAAATCTTTAACTATCGGTTATGAAAGTCGCGAGGACGTACGAGGGCGTACGCGGCTCAACTCAACCATTAATGACTTCATGGAATGATGCATAGTATTTAGACACATGAAATTGATGCCTTGCATAAAATAAGACAGTTTGCACTTGTCAGTAAGGTGTGCCTAAAATGCTTAAGGGAATAATACTTAACTTGAGACTCAGATCTGCGTTATTCAAATTCGCCATCGTACATCGTACATCACCAATGAGCTAATGGGGCACTTAATCATCATCTAAGTAGGACCTGAAGATGTGCGTGAACCGAATACACTATACCGTATTAGTGCAATCGACGTGTAATTAAATTGTGGAAAGGTAAGTTTGAAGTGATAAAGAAACTAAAGAGAAAAATGAAGAGTGGATGCACCTGAGCCATTACGACCGACTTTAAATAACGTCATTCAACGTCTTCAACCATTAATCACAGTTACCTTGCCAATCTAATCCAAATACTTTGCATCTAACAAAATAACTCAGAACAAATAGTTCATGACTTCAGCAATGGATGCTATGCTTGGTTTTAGCCAACCTTAGCTCGTGTTCAACTTACTACTTACTCCTACATAACTAGTAGCTATTACTCAACATGGCTTAGTGTAACAACACTAAGTACTATTAAAAGTGCGCAAAAACGCCTACTACCGGTGTAATTTTATTAAGACACCAATAAGTAGGTGATTTGTATACTTGAATTGTTATCAACGTTGAGAATCTTCAAAGAAAGATAATGAAAATGAAGTAAGAAATGGTGTTATGATAAAGATAATTGTACTCAAACTAATCAACCAGGAAAAAATATTTCCTAAATCAGTTTATTTTGACACTAAGTAACACCACCCATAAAGGAATGTGATGGTTAGATATGATTAAAATACATCTCAACTGATCTCATTTAGCGCTGAAACCTTGACCGTAGCTGCTACCTTGATATAACGGGGCTTGCCTATCGTGATGACTCAACCGAACTATCTTGGCTTGAACATACAAGCAGCTCGATTAGAGAACGGTAAGACTAAAAGCAGCTACTCAAGGTCTGAAGGAGAAGTCGTACTGATGATTGTAGTGATGTGTGATGGCAGTAAGGTGTTTTCCTCGAATAACCATCATCTGCAGCGATGCTGTCTTCTCACAAGGAAGGGAGGGGTTAGAAAAGGTTAACCCTAAAATCTCACACCTCACATTACCCCACAGATTTCTATCTCCAGTGGTAAGGCTATTCGTATAGCAGAGATAACACTTCACAAACTTCCCATAAAGAGGCAGCGAATGACCAGATTCAAATAACTGTTCCATGCGCTTTGCAGTCGCACTCACAGGTCATTTAAAACCAACCATAATTAAAGTTGCTGCTACCTTGACGTGGTGGTTGGGCTTGACTATCGTGATGACCCAACCGAGCTATATTGGCTGGAACATATGTTCCTGAAGGTTCTACCATGCCAGGCAGGTCGATTGGAGAACGATGAGACTAAAAGCAGCAGTTGTCCCTCGGGCTCTGCGGTCACGCACCCAAGTCTTTAAGACCAACGCTAATCTATCTTCCTTTTCAGGTCCCTCAAGAAAAAATCTTCCACGGTGTGGGAAGCCGGGAAGTAACAACCGCTCTCATACCCGTAACAGCACACAAGACCGAATTGATCAAAATCAAATCCTTCTTACACCAACTAATACCTCTCCTAAAATAACTAAGCTCAGAATTGATTTTTAACTACATCTTGTAACACCTGAAATGCCATTCCTAAAAAGTCAACTAAAAGCTTACACACAGTGTTAATACATCCAAACCAAATACTACATAAACCTTGTTTTTGATTCGTTATACCATTACTGTCCATCATAAAATTGTGCGCCTTATGGATGAATACAAAAATGATGTTCTTTTTTTTCAGATTTAAATATGACGCTAAATTGTGAACTTGTAACCAGAGCAGTATTTCAAGAAACTTGATCCAAAGTGATATTACTCGTCATACATTCATAATTTAAACCTTGTGAAGAACCACAAGTTTATATGCAGATCTTCTCTATGCTATAAATGTTTATACCAAAATATTCAATAACATAGCCAATCAATTGACAACCAAGAGCAACGTAGAACTTCGTGCGTAAGTACATCAGTTCAAGTTGCTATAAAACAGCACCCAGATGTAATTGTCAATTCAAATCTCATAGTAGTAAAGGTAGTAGAAGTGTTAGCAGTAATCGGAAATTTAAGGATTCGACAATATTATTCAAGAATTAGAATCTAGTGAAATAAACATAAAGAAAAGATACAGATGATGAGGAGCTCTAAAGGATAGGATTTGAGAGAACACAAAGAATGAGTGCACTTTCGCCACTGCAAACAATTTTGAGCCATGTTGTTCAAGGTCTCTAACCATCAGTGATTATCGTCTCGTGGGCAGCAACCAGGTAGTTAACATCTGCCGACACGACTCAGTCCACTTGTTAGTGATTTCATGGATTTCTGACATGTTTTGGTTTGGCCACACCCAGCGTTCTTCCAACCTATTCCAACCTAATCACAAAACATGGCTCGACGAGGCATTCGGCGATTAGGCATTCGCAAAACATGTACCAACCAGTCAGTCAGTCATATGCAACGTAGAACTTCGTACGTAAGTACATCAGTTCATGTTGCCATACCACATCAACACAGAAATATAATTGTCAATTCAAATCCAATAGTAGAAGAGGTATTAGAAGTAATCGGAGAGGTTAGGATTACAAGATATTAATCAAGAAGTATGATTCAGTAAGAAAAGTTTAGAAAGTCAAAACTAAAGGGGTTGAAGAATCCAGAAGATTAGGATTTGAGAGAACAAAAAGAATAAATGCACCGACGCCACTGCAAACGTTTTTCAGCCATGTCATTCAGGGTCTCTAACCATCGATTGTTATCATCTCGCGGACCCCACTCAGGCAGTCAACAACGACCGACATGGCTAAGTCTGCTTGTCAATGATATCATGGATTTCTACTATGTTTTGGTTTGGCCGTCCCTAACTTTCTTCCAATCTACTCCTACACTGCAAAATATAGCTCGTCGAGGCAGTCGGTAGTTAGCCATACGTAACACATGTTCTAACCACATCAACTGATGGAGTTTCACTACTTCATCTATTGATTTGCCGTCCCTACCTAGAACTCGTTTTCTAACGATTGCATTGCTTGCTCGGTTGTCCCAGGATACTCAAGCAATGCTTGGAAGACACCTATGGTCGAAAACTAGTAACCTACGGAAGTCCTGTACTCTTAACGGCCATTTATCGCATCCGTACAGTAGGACGGAGCGCACTGCTGCGCAGTACATCCGTCCTTTAGCCAGCAAACGGATATCTCGCCTACGCCATAAGTGACGCAGGTTGGCAAAAGCCGACCGAGCTTGCTGTATCCGAGCTGAGATTTCGTCAGTCACCAGGCCATCGGCACTGATAAGACTCCCAAGATAAGTGAAGCGATCAACACGCTCAACTACTTCACTCCCTATCACTAGTTCACGTGCCGATGCAACCCAATCTTGAAGCAACATTTTGCATTTCGACGGCGAAAACCGCATCCCGAACATGCTTGCATTGTTGCTTAGGGTAGTCAGAAGACTCTGCATTTTGTCAGCGTCTTCACCAAGTAGGACTATGTCATCGGCATATTCTAAGTCAATTAGCGAGCCACCTGGTAGAAGGTCTACTCCTGAAAATTCAGACGAGGATAAGGGTATATCTAGGAGCATGTCTATGATAAAATTAAACATTCATTAAATTGTTTTTATATCATTTGAAAGCAACAACCCAATAAATTATTTCTTTATCTATCTATCATTTTTTTCAGGCTTGTGGACACATTGGTTCGTATAGGCAAACATATGGGTTGTTATAAAATTACACTTGATTGCAGTGATGAAAAAAAAAACCGCATCCCGAACATCCTTGCATCGTTGCTTAGGGTAGTCAGATGACTCTTCATTTTTTCAGCATCTTCACCAAGTAGGACTATGTCATCGGCATATTCTAAGTCAATAAGCGAGCCTCCTGGTAACAGGTCTACTCTTGAAAATTCAGATGGGATAAGGTTATTTCTAAGAGCATGTCTATGATAAAATTAAACAAGAATGGAGAGGGTGGACATCTCTGACGGATACCACTTGAAGTAGAGAATTCCGATGACAGTTCGCCACAGGCTCTCACTCGACCAGTGGTGTTCGAGTAGAGAGCCTGTATAAGGTTAATGTACTTCTTTGGTACACCTTTCAATGACAGACACTGCCACAGAACCTCGCGATCAACAGAGTCGAATGCCGCCTTAAGTTCCAGGTAGACAACTATTGTAGGACGCCTAAATGTGTGTCTATGTTCCAGGACCTTTCGTAGTGTGAAGACGTGGACTATACAACCACGTCCAGGTCGAAAACCAGACTGGTTTTTCCGAGTTTGCTCTTCACGAGCTTTCGTTAAGCGTCGAAGTATTATTGAGGCCAATATTTCAGATACTATATTAGTTAGACTTATTCCCCTGTGATTGTCACAAGAATACTTTTGTCCTTTCTTGTAGATTGGGACAATCAGTGATTGAGACCACTCGGATGGGATCACGTGCAGTTCCCAGATTCTACCTAAGATCTCAGTCAACCTAGCTGCTAAAACTGGACCACCGTCCCTAAAAATCTCAGGGGTAAACCTATCAGGACCTGCTGCTCTACCTCGATTCAGGTTTTCTAACGCTTTCTCAACTTCATAAAGACTAGGGGGAGTGACGTCGATTTGCTATTCAGGATGACTGGAGATCGTGTGTAACCGAAGAGTGACTCGAGGCCAGTTGAACTGATCCCTAAAGTGTTCTGCCCATCAATCCAGTCTCCTGGGTTGAGAATGGATAATAAGACAATCCTTTTCCGAAATAGTCTCACTCACATTCGGGTTCCTAATACCGGTTTCTTTAATAAGGTGGAAAAGTTGTCTAGTGTTGCCTATCTCCGCTGCATTTTCAATTGCTTTTGCTTTGGCCACCCACCACTGTTCACGGTCAGTCGTACAGCGCACAAGCGACTATCTACTGGGATCCAGTCTAGGAGAGCTAGTTCTGCCCTACGACTAGATGCTATACGTATACCAGCGAGGCCCCGGGAAGCAGCATTAGGGCTACCGGATACACGAAAAGTAAATCGGGCTGCTTCTTTGTTTTGACATAGCGAAATCAGATTAATGACTTTACTAGGATCCTGTATGCGCATTTTCGAGACTCAGCATACATCGATTGAGCCAGATTCTAATGTCCTAGCTAACGAAGCTTGTTGCCCTATTTGACACAATGTCCGTAAATTAAATGCTGCAAAATGTAGTATAGAATGGGGTTACTGGAGACCACAAATATTGTTTCGTGAACTCGCTTCGTTTGCATGAGCTGTGCACTGTGATAAATGAATGTGAGTTAGTCGTGGAGATAAGAGAGTTATTAAGGGGTGTAGGAAGGATTTGATTTTGACCAATTTGGTATCTCGTGCTTTTACGGGTATGAGGGCGGTTGTCACTTCACGGCTGCCAACACCATGATAGGTTGTTTCTTGAGGGACCTGAAAAGGAAGATAGATTAGCGTTGGTCTTGGAGACCTGGGTGCGTGACCGCAGAGTTCAAGGGACAACTGCTTGAGGCCGGTCACGCATGGCCTTTTTATAAAAGGTTTTTTGAGTATTAGCCCCGCTCTTAAAGGTCCTTAGTGGGCACCCTTACCCAAGGAGACGGAAATCCGTGAGGTGGTGTGAGGTATGACATTTTTAGGGTCAACCTTTTCTAACCTCTCCTTCCTTGTGAGAAGGCAGCATCGCTGCAGATGCTGGTTGTCCGATGGAAACACCTTACTGCTGTCACACCCCTCTGCAGTCAGCAGTACGACTTCGCCCTCAGACCTTGGGTAGCTGCTTTTAGTCTCATCGTTCTCCAATCGACCTGCCTGGCATGGTAGGTCCTCCAGGAACATATGTTCCAGCCAATATAGCTGGGTCATCACGATAGGCAAGCCCGACCACCACGTCAAGGTAGCAGTTCCGGTCGGGCTGTCGCAACCATCTCAACTGATCAAGTTCCGACACTTCATCTATTGATTCGACATCCTTACCCAGGACTCATTTCCTAACGACAGCACTGCTTACTTGATTGTCCCACGATACACGAGCAATGCTTCGGGGACACCTATGATCGAAAACCATTAACCAATCAATATCTACTCATACTGACCATGTTTCATAGCCATAAAGTAGGACGGAGCGAACTGCTGCGCAGTACATTCGTTCTTTAGTCAGCAAACGGATATCTCGCCTGCGCCATAAGTGACACAAGTTGGCAAAAGCCAGTCGAGCTTTTTGTATCCGTGTTGAAATTTCGTCACACACCAGGCCATCATCACTGATAAGACTCCCTATTTAAGTGAAGCCACCAACATGCTCAACTACTTCACTCCCTATCACTAGAGTTCAGGTACCGAAGCAACTCAATCCTTCAAGTAACATTTTCCAACGCATGACAATGACTCAAAGTTACGTAAGAATATAATGCTGTAAAATTATGATTGGTTAGTTGATAAATAACCACATGTGTGAATGTGAATAGGAAATTCACTTTTCTCATAAAAAAATTTTAAGCACAACTTTTAAAAAACTTACATTCACTTCTTTATCCAAAAGGCTAAATCCGTTTTTAATACGAAAAATCGATTGTAGATCGGATAAAGTTTCAGTCGACAAATGATTATCACATTTCATTTGATTGGAATTTTCCAATTTATGATTTGCATCTCCATGATTTTTCTCGTTAGATTGATTTGCTTTAAAATTATGTTCAGATGATGAATTATTTGAGTTATGAATTGCAGCATCATTTACTTCTGTAGTGGTTGTGGTTGTTGTTGTCGTCGTAGGCGTAATTTTTTGAGCATTAATAAACAAACGATTAATATGACGTAATCCTGCACTGTAATATTTTGGATTTTGATTTCTTCGTGCTAATTGAGCTAGTAGGCATAATAGTTGTTGGCTAGAAAAAAATTAAAGTAAGTAAGTAATGTGATTTGAAAACAATGGTAATTGTGTGTGACAAATGAAATTGCACATGTTAATAATATTCTTTTAAGCTAATATGGTTGGTTCACACACAGTTAACAAATCCTGTTTCATGCATCATCCTCTACTGTTGTTGTTAAGCTTACAAGCTCTACGTAACATGTAGACTTTTATTATTATTATTATTATTATTATTATTACTTGCCGAAGGCTTACTTTTTTTACTCAAGGTTATTTACAACATTCTGTGATTGATTGGATAGACAAAAAAAATAACATTTACAAGCACATTCACGTGAGTTTTCTCTACTATGAATTACATTAAGTAAGAGGATTTACAAAATTACAATACTAAATAAATATTATTAAGCTTTGCATGAAAATATTCCATGATAGACTGTGATTAGGGGTCAGGGGGGAAGGTAAATAAAAGTGAAGTTTTACATCAAAAAATGTGCCTCAGTATCTTCTGTGTAGTACCACGAATTCATTGAACACCTTACGCATAATTATTAAGAGTTAATATTATCGAATCTATGGATTCTTCTCATCAGCAATATTGATTCGACGACTCGATTATAATAAGTAAGACAAAGTAAGATTTTTTTTTAAAAATAGATCGACTGAGCATCTATAACGAAACTCCGCCAGTAGAACCTTAGGGGCTACTGCCGGTCCCAAGCCCGGAAAAAGGAGGAGGGTTGGACATGGGGTTGGCGACCCCATTCCATCGTAATCTAACTTGCCAATAAAAACGCTAACGAGCAACTATAACGAACATAACTACTTAAATTCCATAAACGCATATAAAAGGATATCATGAAACTGACTATATATATACTGATCTGACATTTTGTACAGTGGCAAAACCACAAATAAACACATGATTTTAAAAATAAAATCAGTACCGTTACATAAGATGAATGAAACGAAAGGAACAATCATTTGATGTTGTGGAAGTGTTTAACAGAGATAGATCATATTCCGTAAACAACTTTTGTTTTTTTTACAATTGTCATAATTCCACTTTACATTTGTACAATCACTCTCAATGACTGTAAAAATTGTTAAAATTTAACCTTGATCTTACATCGTTGTGCTATAAAGTTAGGAATCTAGAACTAGGTAAGGATGGCAGATCAATAGATGAAGTGGTGAAACTTCATCAGTTGAGGTGGTTGGGACATGTGTTACGTATGTCTGACCACCGAATGCCTCGATGAGCTATGTTTTGTGGTATAAAACATGGCACAAATCCATGAGGTGACTGACAAGTGGACTTAGCTATGTTGGTAGATGTAGACTACCTGGTTGGGGTCCGTGAGATGAAAGTCACCAATGGTTAGAGACCTGAACGACATGGCTCAAAATCGTTTGCTAGGGCGCAAGTGCAACCACTCTCTGTGTTCTCTCAAATTCTAACCTTCGGAATTCCTCACCATCTCATTTTCTTGCTAAAGTTATTTCACAGAACAATACTTCTTGAATAATATCTTCGATTCGAAATATTCTCCATTACCAGTAATAATTCTACTATCACCACCACTACGGGATTAGAACTGACAGTTGCCTCTCTGTGCTAATAATGTGTTATGGCAACATGTACTGATGTACGCACGTATGAAGTTCAACGTTGTAACTGACAGTCGTTATTTCGTTCGGAACTTGCTCTCAAATACCATTGCTGCTCGAACACTCCTCGTTTTCACTTGATCGGATAGCGAACGAATAGATCTTCGATATAACTGTTATCTACATTCACAGATCATAACGATCTCCCTATTACTCTTCCTATTATTCTTGGCATACACTGTTTGGATTATACAGATATATATCATATTTGGGCAGAATCGTGAATTGCTATACTGAGAAAACTGGAACACGCATCCTACAGACAATCTAAGTAACATACTATATTACTTTTATACGTGAATTTTCATATATTTGGGTGTCGTTCATTGTTCTAGATTCCTTTTGAAATAACTCTATCACACCATTTTGATAATGATAGATTTTTTGGTCCTTTACAATGTTCCAAAATTCACTTTAACATACAAATGTATACAATGTTCATTGACAATTGGTTATGTGTTATATACCCACCTGAAAATGTAATCTTACAATTTTATATCATAAGAAAAATATCAAGTAACAAAATCAAAGAATGCAGCTGTGATTGGTGCAGTGAACTGGTTGGTCACTCTATTTTTACTGTAGTTCAATTGAGAAAGATCAGTGAAGGTAACAGATCACAAAGTCAATTTAGTACCGACCGCTTCACACTAATTTACATTCTAATCAAACGATTAGCAATGTATATTTTCACCATAACATACTCAGAATAAATAAATAAAACTATTTACATTTAAAAATGTCAAAGACTGAATAATAGAATGGAGTAATCATACTAGTCAGATTATATTATGAATAATCCCAAAATCTTTCCAAGTTTTAGTAATTATTAAACTGTAAGTTAAAAAACATACACATTTGGATGGAAACTTAGTGGTCTAACAGTCACAGGTTTAACTTTTGGTGTGGTCATGTACATGTAATGATGAGACGATTTCCATGCTATGAACAAGGTGATTGAGGATGCTGTCAAAGGTATGGAGGAGGATTTTCTCTGATGTAGCATGACCGGTCAATTGTAAATACACCTTAGTCCTACAGAGCAGTTGCAAACCGGGTAGCTTATTGGTAACGTCTCTGGTTGTGAAGCTAGGCGATACAAGATCGAATCCGCCAGGAGCGACAGTCCCCTCGAGATTACAAGTACATCTTATTGACAAGAGTCAAACAGCACGAAACCTAGGTTCAGAGTTTCCTGTCGACTACCTCCAACCACCATCTCATATATCAACATGATGCACACGATGTCGAGCCACCTAGATTAGTAAGTACATTGCACTTTGATCGATAGAATTCGGTCAGCACTTAGAAGGACCTGACATACATAACACTGATCACTTCCCAGTGACCGATCAATTGTAAAAACAACTGATACTTTCTGGTTGAACACCGTGAATGGATATTTCTTCTACAGGGACCTAGGAGCTTGATTACAGAGCCCATAGAACAGCTACTTGAGTTCGTTTACATATGGCCTTTGTGGGTCCTTTATTGTGGGAAGGCAGCACCTATGCAGATAGTGGCTGTCAGAGAGAAACACCTTACTTCCATGAGACCCCAGTACAGTCAGCCATACGATATGATTCTCAGATCTTAAGTTGCCACCTTTAGTCTAACTATTCTTCTATTAACCTACTTAATACGATAGAAACAAGTGTTCCCGACAAGTGTTCCACTAGATTATCACAATAAGTAAGCCCTACAACTATTTCAAAGCAGACAGATATATGACACTTTCCAGGTTACACCAAAAACAATACAAGAAACTATATATATATATATAGAGAGAGAGAGTAAATCAAAGAATTACACAAAAAAATCACTAACCTAGGAGGAATCATTTCAGAATTTCCATCATTCATATTTTTTGACTTAAAACCTATAGCTGATTGAGCAAAATTCGCCTCGGCTTTTGCATCCGCTTCTTGTGTAATTAAAGCAGCTTCAGCTTGTGAAACATATTCAACTAAATAATTTGGCCATTTTTCATTATTTAATTTTGTTAATGTATATTTTTCACTTTTTGATGTTGAATAATAACGTGATAATGAATAAGAGGAAAGTGCTTCCGATGGTCGATTTAAAGACATTAATGCTTTACCACGATGTAAATGAACTTTAGCTAAACGAGAATTAGAAATAGTATCATGATTATTATTATTATTATTATTATTATTATTATTATTATTTGTTGTCATTGTAGTAGATTTGATATCAGTATTAAGTTTTTGTGTATCTGGAAATAGTAGTAATGCAGTGTCACAATCTTTTAATGATAAATCAGGTTGACCAAGACGAAGATATGCCTAAATATTAAAAAAAATAAACAAAAAAAGAAGAATAAATTACATCAATGCATAAGGACAGCTAGAGGTGAATGTTTTCAATTGTATAAGAAAAAAAAGCTTTTCAAATTCAGCATTAAACCTAGAAGACGGTTAGAGACCCTGAATGACCAAAACATGACAGAAATCCATGAAGTCACTAACAAGTAGACTGAATCACATCGGTAGGTGTCAACTACCAACCAGGTTGGGGTCCGCGAGATGATAATAATCGAGCGTTAGAGAGCCTGAGTGACATGGCTCAAAACCGTTCGCAATGGCGCAGGTGCATCCATTCTTTGTGTTCTCTGAAATTCTAACCTTCTGAATTCCTCATCACCTCTATCATTCTCTTTCTGAATTTACATCACTGAATTATACTTCTTGAATAACAGCTTCGAACCCTAATCTCTCCGATTACTTCTAATACTTTTACTACCGACCGTAGCTGCTACCTTGACGTGGTGGTCGGGCTTGACTATCGTGATGACCCAACCGAGCTATATTGGCTGGAACATATGTTCCTGAAGGTTTTACCATGCCAGGCAGGTCGATTGGAGAACGATGAGACTAAAAGCAGCTACTCAAGGTCTGAGGGCGAAGTAGTACTGGTGACTGTAGTGATGTGTGATAGCAGTAAGGTGTTTTCCTCGGACAACCAGCATCTGCATCAATGAAAAGTTCAGAAGATCCATGGAAGACATAAAGGCAACGAGAAGAGATAATATCTATTCAAATCACCACCTGGCGGTGGCCAGGTTGAAAGCGAAGCTAAAGAAGCACTGGGAAACTGGACTAACTACATCGCAAAGATTTGAAACAGCATTTCCTCAGGGTACCGACAAACTCAACAAATCAAAAATAACTATTAGCAATAAGTACCAAACCGCACAAGATCTACTCAACAAGGAGGATACTGCTGTGGAGAACAGGAGGAAGGATATTAGAGAAGCCATAACTTCAACATATGAAGATGTGCTAAGCTGAAACAGCAAACAATATGAGGAATGGATCTATGTTGATAGTTTGGAAAAGATCCAAGAAAAGACAGACAGATACAACGCAGAACTTCGTACGTAAGTACATCAGTTCAGGTCGCCATACCACATTAGCACAGAGAAGTAACTGCCAGTTCAAATCCAAGAGTGATAGTGATAGTAGAAGTATAAGAAGAAGTGGAGAAGATTAGGGAGAGAAGATATGATTTGAGAAGTATAATTCAGTAAGATAGATTTAGGAGGAAGATAGAGATTATGAGGAATTAAGAAGATTGGAATTAGAGAGAACACAAAGGGTGGATGCACCTGCGCCATTGCAAACGATTTTGAGCCATGTCGTTCAAGGTCTCTAACCATTAATGACTTTCGTCTCGCGGACCCCAACCAGGTAGTCTATATCTACCAACATGACTCAGTCCACTTGTCACTGACTCCATGGATTTCTGCCATGTTTTGGTTTGTCCACCCCTATCTGTCTTCCAACCTACTCCTACACTGCAAAACATAGCTCGTCGAGGCAGTCGTTGGTTAGCCATACGTAACACATGTCCTAACCACCTCAACTGATGAAGTTTCACTACTTCATCTATTGATTTGCCATCCGTACCTAGAACTTGTTTCTTAACGATAGCATTGCTTATACGGTTGTCCCGGGATACACGAGCAATGCTTCGGAGACATCGATGATCGAAAACTAGTAACCTACGAAAATCCTCTACTCTTAGCGGCCATGTTTCGCATCTGTAAAGTAGGACGGGGCGAACAGCTGTACAGTTCACTCGTCCTTTGGTGAACAAGCGGATATCTCGCCTGCGCCATGAGTGACGCAGGTTGGCAAAAGTCAACCGAGCTTACTGTATCCGAGCTGAGATATCGTCAGTCACCAGGTCATCGGCACTGAAAAGACTTCCCAGATAAGTGAAGCGGTCTACACGCTCAACTACTTCATTCCCTGTCACCAGTTCAGGTGCCGATACAACCCAATCTTGAAGCAACATTTTGCATTTCGAGGTTGAGAACCGCATCCCGAACATGCTCGCATTGTTGCTTAGGGTGGTCAGAAGACTCTGTATTTTGTCAGCGACTTCACCGAATAGAACTGTCATCGGCATATTCTAAGTCAATAAGCGAGCCACCTGGTAAAAGGTCTACTGAAAATTCAGAAGAGAATAAGGTTATTTCTAAGAGCATGTCTATGATAAAATTAAACAAGAATGGAGAAAGTGGACATCCCTGACGGACACCACTTGAGGTAAAGAATTCCGGTGACAGTTCGACATAAGCTCTCACTCGACCAGTGGTGTTCGAGTAGAGAGCTTGTATGAGGTTAATGTACTTCTTTGGTACACCTTTCAATGACAGACACTGCCACAGAACCTCACGATCCACTGAGTCAAATGCCGCTTTTAGGTCCAGGAACACAACTATTGTAGGACGCCTAAATGTATGGCTGTGTTCCAGGACCTGTCTTAGTGGGAAGATGTGGTCTATACATCCACGTCCAGGTCTGAAACCAGACTGGTTCTCTCTAGTCTGCTCTTCACGAGCACTAGTAAGGCTGTGGTGGCCTATTTCTACGTGTTCTTAGTTTTCGTAATTAGCTCGTTCAGACAATCGTTACTAAACGGCGTCTGACGGTTAATAAATCAGAAGGTAAACTCGAAGTGTTGAATAGGTTTATTTTGGCACACCACAAATAGGGATAGCAGACCACAAGCAGACATGGCAGGCACACTAGCGAGTAAATGGGTGAATGTGCGTCTAAGTATAATCGAGGCTAAAAATTTAGAAACTATTAGTTAGACTGATTCCTCTGTGATTGTCACAAGGAGACTTTTGTCCTTTCTTATAAATTGGGACAATCAGGGATTGAGACCACTCGGATGGGATTGTGTCCAGATCTTAGATTCTGCCTGAGATCTCAGTCAACCTAGATGCTAAAACTGGACCACCATCCTTAAATATCTCAGAGGTCAGTCTGTCGGGACCTGCTGCTCTCTCTCGCTTCAGATTTCCCATCGCTTTCTCAACTTCATAAAGACTAGGGGCACTTACGTCGATTTGCCATTCAGGATGATTGGAGATCGTGCGTAACCGAAGAGTGGCTCGAGGCCAGTTGAACTGATCCCTAAAGTGTTCTGCCCATCGATCCAGTCTCCTGGATTGAGAATGAATACTAGTCCCGTCATTTTCTGAGATAGTCTCGCTTACACTAGGATTCTTAATACCAGTTTCATGATCTGTCGATAAAGCTTTCTACTGTTGCCTATCGCCACTGCCTTTTCCATCGCTTGTGCTTTCGCAACCCACCACTGTTCACGGTCGATGCGCAAGCTTTTTATCAGTCTGCGGTTAAGCTAACTTCGCTCTTCATCATGTTCGGTGGATACTACTGAGATTCACAGCTTCTAGCTTTATGGTTTACCTTACTAGCAGATATCACTGCTGTTGCCACAGCCTTTTTGATATCATTCCAACCTGCTTCCGGATGGGAATCGCTTACATAGTTGCCTAACTCTCTTTCTAGTTGCTCTTCAAATATATTCTTAGCTTTATTATCATTGAGTAAAACCGGAAGAGGCTTCCTTGTGGTGTCTTTGCTACGTCCAGTAAGCCTCAAACAAATACGAGCTCGCACTAGGGCATGATCTGAATCTAAACATGTGCCCCAGAACGAGCGATAGTCCTCTATCGAACACCTCCATCTGTGGCTGATGACGATGTGATCTAGTTGGGTCCAGTGTTGTGACAACTTTGGGGGTCACCAGGTCAAGAGATGTTTCTCCCTATGCTTAAAGTTGGTACTTGCAAGAAATAGGTGATTATCTAAGCATATATACAGCAGACGGCCGCAACTATCTGTTATGTGAGTTGCAACACCATAAGGCCTACTCAGGTATCTTTCAATTTCGCTTAGTCTACCTATTTATGCATTAAAGTCATCAGCTACTAATACTACGTCAGAGCTCCTAACGTTTTAAAGGTTAGAAAGTTCTCGGTAAAATTCATCTTTTACCTCATGTGAGCTGCAGTCAGTGGGAGCCTAGGCAGAGACAACAAACAGGCAACGGCAAATGTCCCTATCTTTCCGAGTCCTTAGTGTCCCGTTTAGTCGGACAGCGCACAAGCAGCTATCTACTGGGACCCAGTCTATGAGAGCTCCCGACCGTAGCTGCTACCTTGACGTGGTGGTCGGGCTTGCCTATCGTGATGACCCAGCCGAGCTATACTGGCTGGAACATATGTTCCTCAAGGTTCTACCATGCCAGGCAGGTCGATTGGAGAACGATGAGACTAAAAGCAGCTACCCAAGGTCTGAGGGCGAAGTCGTACTGCTGACTGCAGAGGGGTGTGACAGCAGTAAGGTGTTTCCCTCGGACAACCAGCATCTGCAGCGATGCTGCCTTCTCACAAGGAAGGAAGGGTTAGAAAAGGTCGGCCCTAAAAATGTCACACCTCCCCTACCTCACGGATTTCCGTCTCCTTGGGTAAGGGTGCCCACTAAGGGCCTTTAAGAACGGAGCTAAT